AGTGAAAAGAAGTTGCACTGCAATCCCAGAGGTGTGTGGTTTGAATCCACCAGATGCTCTGTTGGAAAAGGAGGGACAGTCTCCTCCTGCACCAGTCAGATCCAATTTGACAGCACACACATAAAATATATATATAAACTTTGCACTGAAATTTGAGATATGCCTGTGTGTATGCACACACAAACACACATAGCTCAATTCTTGGCAATTAAGTCTAGTGATAATTGTTTCTGTGCATTAGTCATAATCACTTTTTAAGGAGCAAAGCCTATTATGCTATTGAGTGAATTTCAGATGCCCTGCAGATTTGAGTAATTTTGGGTAATACAGCTGTGTGTGGTAAAATATTTTACGACTCCTATAAAGTGTTGCCTCATGACATGTTCAGCAGTGATTCTGTGGTATCATATAGCAATTTCAGTGCTTTTCATTAAAAAAATCAGATACCATTTACAATAAGTTTTTAAACAAGGGGCATCTTACAAAATTAGGACAGTCTGTAAGTTCCAAGGCATTTGGGAGTCCTAGAATGACTAAAGGGTCTTTAGGTATTTTCTAGAAGTAGACACAGAAACAATAAACATTAAAACACCTGAAAACTGCAGATGAGAGAAATGTATATAATCTACACTGACCTTAGCTGTGTTTAAGAATGTTAGCACTTCCTCCTGCTTTTCTAATTTCTGTGAAAGATCACAGTTTGCCTGAAAATACCATTTCTCATTAAATCTGAATGAGAAAATGAGGAGCAAAGCACAGTGTATTGTATATTATTTCATTTTACTATTTGGATTATTCTCTTTTGGCTACCACTATTTTTTTTTCTTTAGGTGAATCAAGTGATAATAGTCATCAAATAAATCATTCAAATAATCAGCACATTAATAATAATGATATAAAATAATCATCACATTTATTTTTCCATGTACATACCAGACAATTGGATAGAAGCTCAGAATTTTCTTAAAAAAAAGATTCAAGAAAATAAGCATTATTTTTTTAATATTAAATTTTTATTTTTACTGGCTTAATTACAAAGTTCATATATGTTGTTTTTCATGCCAGATCATTCTTCTTTCCTTAGCCCACCCCTCCCTCCACCCATCAAATTGTGTGACTCTATGATTACCTCTCCCCTCCCCCACACATCCTTTCTCCTCTGCTCCCACCCTCCCTTATTATATCCTCATATGCGTTTTACTTGTTATCTATCTCTACAATAAGTCTTCTACAATGTTTGTCCTTAATTTTTAATTACAATTTTATGAAAGTTTATAGAAAGATTTGGATTCTCATTCATGGATCAATCTACATTTTTCCTCCCTTCTTCTCCTCCAATCACTTTGCAATGCATGCCTTGTTTCAAATTGTTAATTATCCTGATATCAAAGCCTACTACAAAGCCATAGTAATTAAGACAGCATGGTACTGGTACAGCTAAAGACACATAGACCAATGAAATAGAATTGAAAAACAAGACAGCAAGCAATCTACCTATGGCCAATTTACCTTTGACAAGGAGATGGAATCAATTAAATAGAGAAATGGCAGCCTCTTTACAAATGGTGCTGGCAACAATGAATGAATGGAAATCCAAAATTTCTGTAGATGCTAATAGAAATTAATAAAAATACCCCCAAATGGTGCTGGCAAAATTGGACAACTCTCTGTAGAAAACTGACGCAAGATCCACACCTCACGCCATACACAAAGACCAACTCAATGTCAATCAAGGACCTAGGAGTAAAAACAAAAGTTCATCATAGCAACATCAGAAATAACTTTAGAAGCTCTAATATAAGGCATTAATAGACTTTTAAGTGGTAAATAAAAAACCCTTATAGCTAAGGAGAGGATAAAAAAAAATCAACGAATGGGAATTTCTGAAAATTAAATTTTTATGCACATCAAAAAACTCCTCCAACAGAGTAAAAAGTAAACTGACAGACTGGAGAAAAAAAGTTTGGCATTGATATATCTGATAAGAGATTAGATCTAAAATTTTAGAGTACTCCAGCATCTCAACAAGAAAAAAGCAAACAATCTTAGACATGAATAGACACTTTTCTAAAGGATGATTTTTTTTAAAAGGTAGTTTATCAAAGAGTCCACAGTTTTATAGCTCCAAACATGACATCTTGACTCCTTACCTACAGTTGAAGCCCAAGTGAACATTTTCACTTGTGCTTTCTAGGATGCTCTTGCAGCAAATGCAAACCATTAAAACCTAAATTCATCATTCCATTTATTTTCTTAAATCAAATTTTCTCCTTGAGTAAAGGAAATACCTTTCTTTTGAAACAACAAAACACTATACAGGTGTTTTTTTTAAAAAAGTTTAGTTATTCTCTATACAAGTAATTATCTAAAATAAAAGAAGATGAAATGTGAGACTCATCTTTTTTCCAGTCTTATTAGATAGTAGAGCTTAAGCTCATCCTTTCTCTCTGACTGTGCTCATAACTTCATGTCTACTGCCTTCAGACTGTCTCCTCCTCCAATCCATTCTTCTTTTTCATGTTGTATCTATTTTTCAAGCTGTATGGTGACTCAGTCACATATGATTGGTACACAGAGTCTATACTCTTATGATTGTACTCATGTGAAACCTGTATCCAGACCAGGAAACTGCTGTACAAACAGAAAAAGGGAGAACTTCCTGTTTTAAAATCAACAAAAGAAGGTATTGGGGATTTATTCTTTCTCCATACTCTCAATCTATCATTTGTGAATCTGAACTTTATGAAGAAAATATGTGGCATCAGGATTGGAGGAAGACTCATCAACCTGCATTATACAAATGACACAATCTTGCTCCCTGAAATTGAGGAGGACTTGAAGCATTTGGTGCAGAAAATCAAACACTGCAGTCTAAATATGGAAATCAGAGATTCTCATCACTGAGCCAATATATAGAATCATGATAGATGGAGAAGACATTGAAATTATTGACGATTTCATCTTGCTTGGATACACAATCAACTCTCCTTGGCATCAGAAATCAGAAAATCAAAAGACAAGTTGCATTGGGAAAATCTGCCATTAAGGACCACTCCAGAGTGTGAAAGAGCAACAATGTCAGTGTAGAGACTAAGGTGCATCTGATATAGATCATGATCTTCTCAATTGCTTGCTTTGCATCTGAGAGCTAGACACTAACTTATGATGACAAAAGAAGAATTAATATCTTTGATTTGTGGTGCTGGAGAAGAGTATTGAACATGCCATGGACTGTAAAGAGGACAAACAGGGATGACTTGGACAGGGTGAAACCAGATTTCTCCTTGGAGACTAGGTTTTAAAGCTTTTTCTCGCCTACCTTAAGCATCTTGCGAAGAGGTATTAGTGCTTGGTCAAGGACATCATGCTTGGAAGGATAGCGAATCAGCACCAACAATGAAGAATGTGGATGAGATTGACCCAGTGACTGTGACAATGGGGTCAGGATAAGACAAGGTTCAAAGTAATTGTTCATAGGGTCCCTGTGAGTCATAGTCAACTCAGTGACTACAACAACAACTCACATATCACTTTTTTCCTGATGTTATGACTAGATGTTAAATTTAGATCAGAACTCTCAGTTGAAGTCTAGACCCTAATGCTCAACAACTGTGCATAAGATCTAAGTAAATTTAAGTAAAAATATAAGTAAATATACCAAAATTTAAGTAAAATATAAGAAATTTTTAAAAATCCATTTCCTTATACTTACGGATATTAAGTTGTAACTCATGAAGTTATATTGACCATTAAAAAGCAGAGTATATTGAAAAAGATTAGATAATGTTGAATTGATTTTAACTCTGCTTTTTAGAGTTGTCATTGACTTACCATTGGAGGTAGATTTCTATTCCTTTTTTCTGAGGTATCTCTGTGTTGACTTAAATCTCTAATCTTTCAGTCAGCAGCCATGCACGTTAAACATTTTTGCTACTCCAGAGTATAAATATCATGTATATTCATAGATACATATAGACTTAGTCATTTCTGATCCCGTATGAAATTAACATATTGATAGGTTTATTGATTTTCAGCTGAGTTTCAAATGTTTAATAACTGGTTGTTTAAGATGAATTGTTTGTAATAGTTGAGATTAGCTCCTTTTGTCTCTTAACAGTTAGTTTTCTAGCTAAAAATAAAGGTGTACATTCACCCTTAATCCTGAAATAGCTCTTTTCATGTGTTTCCTAGCATTCTGTATCACATCACATAGTTGCAGCTCCGAATTAGTCTCAGGCCTCAGTTAAGTTGTTAGGATGTAGCCAAAATATCATAAAACTTCATTCATCCATATGTTTGACCAAAATTTAGTCAAAGTGTATTCAAGTATATGTCAGCACATATTATTTATGGTATCTAGTTCTAGATCTGAGAGATTAAAAGATAACTTGAACTCTAATCCCTGTTTTGAGGGGGCTTTCAGTCTGGCAAGATGTTGAATGCAAGCAAACAATTTGTAAAATATTATACAAAATGGGGGATCCTGGAGGACGTTATGCTGAGTGAAATATCTCAGTCATGAAAGGACAAATACTGCATAATTCCACTGTTATAAAACAGGAGCTGACATGGGGTTGGGGGGAAACTAAGAAAAGAGGGGATAAAGATTGAACACTGCATTGAAACAGATGAGGGAAAGAACTGTTTATAAGGAATATATCACTACGTATTACTTGAATGACAACAGTCCAGAATAAGAGGTTATAGCAAATTGGACTGGTGGGTAGATGGGGAGAGGGAGAAAATTATGCAACAATGAAAGAACATTTTTTAAAGAGAAAAGTGAACTGGAGGGTGGGAGTATATAGGAAAATGTGCAACAGTGAATGAATGGAAATCCAAGTTTTCTACAAACTGTTGCTAAAGTATTAATAAAAATATAAAATA